GCATCGGTATAGAGAAATGTAAAGATTAATAGTGTTAATGTAACAATAGATAAATACCCATTTGAAGGGTGGGTGGGAAAGGGGATCAATTTTAGTGATAGATGTTTGTACACAACTTACCGTTACCGTAGAAACAGCGAGTGGTTACCGTGGAGACTGACAACAACACACAGAAGTCGTCAGGGAAACAGAAAAAATATAATAAATAAAGGAACAAATAATCCCAGGAACAAAAGAAACCTAAATGCCCCTCCCCGCCCTCCCCACCAACCACCACCTGTTTTTGCCCCAAACCTGATAGCAGCATAGTTAGAGCTCAGAGCAGAGTACGAGAGAAAGAGGAAGGGAAAGGAGAGAGGATGCTAGCTCTCGATGCTCTCACCATTGTGACAACAAACACGTGGCAGCAAGGTGTTCGGCGCTCTAGAGAACATGGTCCAGAAGGATGGAGGTAACTGGGGAGGGGGGACCTTAGCCACAAAATAACTAAGGAGCAAATGGAACACCTCCAAGGAAAAGAAAAGAAGACACCAAATAACACCACCCTCCATCGTTAGAGCAGAATAGCAAAAGTCAGTTTATCGCTGCCTGGGTCTATTCCAGTCAAAAGGGCAAGCGGGGACATTTTTGGATAGAAATGGACTGATTCTTGTGTGGAAAAGTTACGCCACAGAAGGAAGAAATGTGTGTTTGGACACTGAGTGACTATAATTTCCACTTTTATCCAGTCACCACAAAAGAGCACACTGAAGGCCAGTCAAACAAGAAAAACTAGATGGATGATAAAATAAAATAAGGCGAAAAACAAAGAAAACCGACCAAACATCTTTTCGTCTATTCCAAACTAATCGATACGAAATGACAGAAAGACAAACGTGACTGGCGAAAAGAGAATGAAGGGATATTGAAGAGAAAGAACAGAGCAGACACACAGCGACAGATCAAGGGTTGAAAAGGGCAAAGTGCAAACTCTCTTTCCCCGTTTCTTTCAACCGCTTTCTTCGTAAACACACACACGGACACGCTCACATTTCATTCATTAATCTTGGCCGTGGTGACTCATGCAGTAACAGAAAGCTCAAATAACAGATCAAATACTGTGTGTGTGTGTGGGTACGTGCGGGGTGGGGGGCCGTGGTCATCTATGACAGGTGAGCCTTCGAATCAGACCGTGGCTGATCCTGTGACTCGCATTCGAGTTCATTCAAATGAAATTCTCACGGGGAAACGACTGATTGAAGGCCCAACTGTGTCTGTTAGAGGAGCGTGTGGCAGCAGCACCGTTTGGTGAGAATATGCGTTGTCAGGCATGCAGAAACACAGACAACTGCTTCTCCTCCCTTTTCACCCGCACACATCCATGCAGCGATGACGACACTCCTCGGGCTCGCTTGCACCCCCGACTCAAGTCCCTACTTTGCATGCAAAGCTGCACTGTTCGTGGCACAGAGAGACACGCACGTGTCGGCCATTCTGTGCTCTTGTGTTATATCTGACTAAAACTCTGCGCCGCGGAGGAGCCTTCACTTCCCATAACACTCCAGCAACACAGATCGATCGCAAACGCACAATTCTAGAGCGAGGGTTAGTGAATGGGAGTTTGCAGGGTCCAACATGGTCTCTGTCTCAATACCATTTCTTCTATGGATGCGTGAAGACCTGTAAAATATGATACTTGCAACAACTTAATTTTGTGTGTGCGATCAAAGTGTGCTTCGATCATGATTATTAGGATTAATCAAAAAGTTAATAGCCTAGCATCACACGTCTTCACCTTCAGACGGCCCCGTATAAATAAACAAAGAAGGAAACATTAAAACTTAGCTCCCTGAACAAATGAAAATTGCTCTGTGTGACCAGCAGCTGCTATTCACACAGAGCAGAATCCAATCATCAGCCAGAAGCACAGTTACGACAACTGCATTGTTTCAAAATGTGCGAGGCGCACACCAGATGTGTGCACCAGCCTAAAAATAAAGTGGATCCATTATGTTCATTCCAAGCTCTACCAGAGTGGCTGTGTGATTTACATTAATAAATATATTTTTATTTATTTTATTGCAGCCCTATCTTTATTCATCCTATCCCTGTAAGCTGACTTTCATCTGATTGGCTGCCCTTCCCAAACAGCAGTGGTCTTCTTGAGATGACCATATAAGGATAAAAGCTCCTGGCTGACAACATACAAATCAAAGACAATTAAAAAAAACAAACAAATATCTGAACAGAGAGCATTGAGAGGACTTGTATGCACAGGGATGACACTAAACCTTATTATTTGTGTTTATGTTTAACATAAGCATCCACCTTTAGAGACAGAAAATAAGAAAATAATAATAGGCCCCCTTTAATTTTTCTGGAACTGGAACTGAGACTATGATTGGACCCGAATCAACTCCGCTTACAGCCACTAACTACAAGTAGAATAAATCTGTGATAGCACGTATAACATGTGACTAAAATGTAGATAAACCAACACGTTAATGACAGCCAAAATGGTACAGTCAGACAGATGCTTGGAGTGTGGGCTGCTTTATGTCAGGGCATACACACAATCAGAAAGACAGCCATGGATAGATGAAGATGTGCATGTTTGAAAGTGTGTACAAGATCCACATTGTCACAACTATATATAGGCCTATAGCACTCAATGGTCTATATATAGAGTAAATGGTGATGAGATGGGAAGAAGCAGGTATAGACAAAGAGAACTGTAGTTGGGCCACTTACATGGATACATTGGAAGCATACAGGAAACTGACTTCTTCAAAGCGCAGAGTTTTATTCCAGACAAAGAGAAGTACAGTGTAACTTTAAGTACAACAACTCTGTTTCTACTCTCTTTCATTTAATCCACATACATGCACACTATGGGGAGCTAGTAGGAAAACAAAAAAGAAATCAAATAAGACTACCCAATTCCACTTGCATGCACCAAGAATAAAAACAAGCCAGCACTCGAGTACAGTACAGCATTCCCTTATCAATCATTGAGTCAAAATCAGTCTAGGAGTTCAGCTATCAAGCCTTTTTCCCCCAGTAAGTGAAACAAGCTATAAGCACTCAGGTGTAACTCAGTTCATGCCAACCGAACAAGTAAATTAACAGCCCGTCACCACAACTAATTCAACAAAATAGCCATACATAATAAACATGCAAGAATAAACATCCAGCTGTCAGCAGTACTGCCTCAGCGAGGCTCCAAATTTCCAGATTAAAATATAAATCATGCACAACTAAATCTACATCAGCTAAACCCAGGCCACTGGATAGCAGTAAACTCTAGTCACACACGTAATAGTAAATATTTATGTCTAAACAGTCGCACAGGCCTATATTTCAGAGTTTCTGAATTATAAAAGAAACGTGAGATTTCACTGTTGCTCTTTTACCATATTTGTCTCTGAAAACAAACTTCAAAAAACTCTGAAATCATACGACCGGTTGAAGCGTGAGTTACTGCAGCGACATCTGCGAGAAAGGAGAACTGCCAGAGAGCATTGCCTGAAATAGAAATGTCCGGCCGTTTTTCCTTGGCTGGAAGAATGTATAAACACAAATCCACTGTTTGTCCTGCGCCAGCCTTTTGTCTCTTCAAGCCCATGCACCATAAACAGACAGAAAGAGAGAGGCTGCTCTACAGACTCCTGCTGCTGACCCACCATGCGGCTGATACGTGACTCACTACGAGGCCGTCGCTGCTACTGGAGTTCAACAAAACACATGCAGAGTGACGACTGAAAACAAAGATGTCTTGCTGTTTGACAAAAGTGACTTACATCATGCAAAAATCTGGGAAGAGTCACAGAATCAGGTTAAAGCGATGCCAGGAATGGCACAGGTTGTTGATATACAAAAGGAAAAACTGATGCATGATAAACTGGCTCCATCAGTATCCATTCAGCTTGCTGACTGACTGAAGGTGGAGGTGGCGGAGGGGAATATAATGTTGTACCAGTGGATGCAGGTGGCTGTTTCTCATTCTCCACCACACTGCAGCAGAACTGAGAGTACATAACTAAAAAGGTTCCAGCCTCATCCATCATGCAGGAACTGCCTTGCACACACCCACACACAGACAGACACACACACACACATACACGCATACTCGTCACAAGGAAATCACCACAGTAAGCCCATGCATAAATCCTGGCTTACGATGGCACAAGTCAAGTGATCCAATATGGATAACTGGCTGATTGAAACCCCAATTAAAATAAAGAAACAAAAGAAAAACTCAATTCAAAAACTAAGCACATGCTTCAGGTAAAACATGGGAAAGAATATGTCACACAAAAAACACACAACCTCAAACCACAAAAACCAAAAAATAAATAAAATCAAGTGTACATTTCATCAGAAAGAACCCAGACTTCCATAAAGTGAGCATGCGTCAGTGTTGCTGTGATTCCCAGCATGCTGCTGTTGCATCAGGAGCCAAAAGCTGTCACAACCACTTAGCCACAGCACCGGGAGAGGGGAACACAGAAGGATTTCTCTATGCTGGGGGAGAAAAATAAGAGCAAATGACAGCAATCTGCCATGCATCGTCCTTTCACTGCGTTCCACTTGTGCCCTCCGGTGCAAAATGCACAAATCTCATTCCAATTGTTGCACGAGAAGTTGTAACGTTAGCATGGCTGCAAGTTGTGCATCGGTTGAAAGGGGCAGGTAAAAAGACAACAAGTTAATATACGGAGGGCAGGGGGGAAACACTTCAGAGGAAAAGTACCCAGCATGCCTTAGTGTAGTGTTCTTGCACCCCTAATCATTCCCACCACAAAAACAAAACATCAAAATAATAAATCAAGTCTTTTGGGTTTTAAAAACAAGAAACATATTGCAGAGGACCGGTGTGGGATACCAGTGGGCTGCATCAGAGCATATCACTAAAGGGAGGATGGGAGCTAGCTAGCACGTCAGTGATCAAGCAGAATTATGGTGGGAGTAGAGAGAGGAGACAAGAAAAGGAGGAAGAGAAAGGGAGAGAGCAAAATTACCTCAATCTTACGACCTTCCACCAGTGTGCCGTGGAGCTTTTCCCTGGCTTTCTCTGCGTCTGCGCTGTTCTCAAATGTCACAAAGCCAAAACCCTGTGGTACGCAGCAGAGGTTAGAGAGGTTGATGGTGAGTGAGGGGCATGTCAGAAGGGATTGCCGACCGGTACAGGACAATCTGCGGGACTCATTCTGACACTGTTAAACAGATGACTTTAGTTCTGGAACAGCGATTTCTCACGCGAACTGCTAATACCACATGACAAATAGTCACAGTTACACAGAAAATCATTCAGCAGTAAGCCGGTCACAGCATCGAGTATCGGATGCTTGATGCGCACTTACCTTTGAACCCCTCTCATTGAAAATAATCTCAACATCCAGGATCTTCCCAAATTGCTGCGAAGAAATTTGAGGAAAGAAATATTAGCCAACAATCTTACATCAATAAGGGATCTCACGATTCTGTGCTTAATTAATAAAAGTCATTCAGGGCCATGTAAAGCTATTTGAATTAAAGCTACTTTACACTAGGGGTCACTGTTACACAAAAGACAACATTTGCATTTTAATGTGCATTTCTTTGCGTTGAACTCTGCTCCATTTCTTTCCTCCTACTTTGACACTCATACAAACATGATGACACAGATAAGAGAACACCCATCAGTCTCCTTTCTTTATGACCGTTTCACTCTTTTGTCCTTCGCTCTGAGGCAGCCCCTTATATGGAGGACGCAGGGTGTCTAGACTGATTTATTGATCCCCGCCTTAAAAATGAGGCTCCAACAGTTCTTACCCCGAACATCTGCCTGAGGTCTGGGTCCCGGAAGCGGAAGGGGATGTTTGAAACATGGAGGCGTTTGGGGGTCCCTTTGGCCTCTGTCGAGTCTCCTGCTGAGCCTCCCGCTCCTGTGCCTCCTGCGCCGCACTGTACACCCGCCTCACCCTGAGACGTCTCCTCTGTCTTTACCTGTTTGTGGGAAGAAGAGGAGGGCGAGACAGATGGAGTCAAGTTATAGCGCTGTATAGATAGCAGGAGAAGAAGAAACAATGGAGAATAAACCGAAATGGAAAAAAAGACAAGCAATTTATTTTTATTTTATTTAAATGCCTGTTGCCTCAACTCCTCTCTCCTTTCCTCTTCAGTACAGCAAGTCAAAGAACTCAAAAGTTACAAAAAAAATAAAATAAAGATATGACACTACGTATCTGGTCAAGCTGTGGTAACCAGAAAATACTGCCCTCCTATCCAGGTGTGAGCTGCATGGTGACTTGAGCTTTTTTT